GAGCGACCTCCAATTGTTCTTAGAGTCGGAGACGACCTCACATTACTCGCTTCCTCAGATATTTAAAGAAAACGTACAAAATCTCCTAGAGGACTGGAAGTTTGACTCAGAATAACAAATGCGATTTCGCTTTAAATGGGATTTAAATTACGGCCGCTGATATTATGGTGAAACGGCGCGTACTCTTTCGATGATACGACGAGGTAAGATTGCATTTTCATGTAGTTTAGTAGACGTCTTCTTTTACGACTATTTCTTGAATGGCCCTCAAATCTAACGTTACAACGTTGTTTATATTTCTTGAAATTATCAAAACTTGAAGTTGAATCATTCGAAAAACCAGCGATGCTGATTCATTACACAAACGCTGTTACCAGAGCGCACCTCTGTTATAATGTACATGAGTCATTCGAATTTCAACATGTCTCTATTTAATTTCCACTCAGTATTTCCTTTCTTTTGTTTTTGTCAGTTGATTCAGCCTCAAATTTTCCATGTGAATTCCCGCAGCTGAAAGCCCGCTGCTTCCCATCTCAAACCTTCAGTTTTGCTCTGTCGAAGGGCTGATGCTCGAAACGTCAGCTTTGAAACTCTTTCTGGTGGCCAATTTACACTTTCAACTCAGTTGATAAAACCAAATAAACTTGTTATGCCCTCTTCCTCCCCGCCCCACTGATGCAGCACCACAGTTTCTATAAAAAATTACCTCCTTTGTTCAGAGAATTAGTTTGGTGAATTGACCTAATTATGAGAGTTAATTGCTGTTCATTGCCATAATGTCGGTTCGAGGAGAACTTTGAGCTTTTCTCAAACAGCGGTTGGTAATCGAGCCCAGTGTCCTGTCGGAGACTACATGATTCCTTCCGTGACGGGAATTGTCTTTTTAGCCCAGCGGAGACATAAGCGGTCATAAATTTTTTGTTTGCGTAGCAACAACGAGATTCTACACAATATTAGTATGGAGTAGAAAATTCCTTCCATAGCAATTGGATAAAGTTTTACACGATCATTGTGAGACCAACATAAAAGATATGAAATCCAATCAAACCTAATTAAGTGCACTGATAGTGCGAGTAAGATACTCTCACATTGCTTGAATAAAAACAGGGCAAGGTTTCATGATATAATCCGTAAGTGGCTATCACTTTTACTTTATTTGCGATACAGTACGCGTAAAAAGGCCAATCCGCTGTTGTGGTGTAATGCAATAACGTTGCCTTCGATGATTATTTTAATTCGAATCTCCTTTGACCATTTATAATGTCGATGTCGTGATAGTTGATGACGCTGATGATGATGAAAACTATGTTGTAGTTGTTGTGGCGATTGTTTGTAGTGGGAGCGACAGTAACACAGCGTACAAATTTAGCTGGGATGTAGCTGGGAACTTGCTTCATAGCAATGAAGTGGAATACATAAACAACATCTCTGGGTCTTAATGTCATTAAACATGAAATTAAAGATTGAGTTGCATACCCTTGTTCAGCGAAACGACCCTGTGAATGCTCCTTCTTTCCTAGTGAAAGGTATGTGATGCACAATGCATAAACCGTTCAACCGAGTGAGTTACCGTAGACTTAACTCAGACATCCCGAATGTTGTGCTTTTTTTTTGTTTTATTTTTTTTTTTTAAGAAAGAACTAGCCATAGTCTTTTCCAACTTCTTGGTTAGCGGAGATGAGCGCAAGCGCCGGCAACCGACAGGCGAAGGTTTCATGCTTTTCTAACGCAAGTTTTTTTTTATCCTGTTTCATCTAACTGATATCTCGGATCACGTCACACTTTTTAAAAAGTAAATCTTTCTCCACCCAATTTATTTTGCGCGAGGGATCAGTTCGGTACCAGGCTCCAACCAACGTCCTTGAAAACGTTACCATGACAACGTGGTTGTTCACGCTGTCGATTTTTTTTGCCATATATTTTCCACACGACTTGAACTGCATACTTAATGCACCTTTCATGTGAGTCGTTTTAACTTGCAGGTTTTTCTTCTGCAGAGTGATCAACATGGATGCTATCTTGAACTCTCCATTATTTTTGGTTAAAAGAATGTTGCCCTTAAGTTATATATTTCTCCTCTCTTTTTCACCTTGAAGCTAAAGGGCTTAATTTTAATCAATTTCAATAAACGCGATTTTGGGGAATAAGGCCAAATCTAAGGCATGTTCAAACAGCGCTGGAATGTTGTGTAAACACGATTTTCAGTTTCTTTAAAAAAGATGGCGTACTTTTCCCCTCAATATCAGTGAATCACGGGCATGACACATTTGTGTCATTTAATGACAGTGCTTCGATAATCACCTTGCAACGATTACCACACGTCTAGAAATTGATCTCTTTTTTTTTAACCTAGGCGGTATCCTGCAAAAATCTATTTATACTCGCCGCTTTCAAAGGATCCAATGAAAACATTAGAACATGCCTGTCAATTCTTGGCACCCGTCAGGTGTTTTTGTAAATTTACAAAAAAGGCATTTTCAGAATTGAGTAAGTTCACCAAAAATTTCTTTGATGAATGGATCAGTCTCCCCTGAGGAGAAGTCTATTTGAATAGGATCTAAAATTCAATGGAAGATGAGTCTCTGTGGGACGCTCGGTAACAAAGTATATTTACTCACAAAGAAAGTGGTTGGTTCTTAACGCAGAAAGGGTAAAATTGTGTCAAACAATTCAATGGATTAGAGGGGATTACGTCGCAAATTATTTGGTGTTTTATGTAAGCCGAGAACAGGTAATCTACTTTGAAGTTTCCTTTATGTTTATCTACGAGCGGGTAGTATATGTACGTCATATACCGGTAACGAAAGGTCAGATGGGCAGATGAAGGTCGACGGACGCTTAAAAATGCATGGGTATTATGTTTCACTCTGCTGCAGGAGTCCACGTAGTGTTTGAAAAGGTCAACAAAGGAAAATATGCTTTAGTCAGCGGTGATAGCGAAGTGTCGATTCCATGCGAGTTTTCCACCGTGAGGTCTCAAAAGAATTTTATCAACAAGAACTGTAAATGACGCGCGTTCGACTCAAGTGATCATTAAAGCATCTTTTCTTCGCCCAGAGATGAGCGTTTCAGCGGATAGTAGCCCGCTTACAAGCGATCCAAACGCAAATAGTCTGAAGCAAGGCAGTTTGCTGTTAAGCATTTATGGCTATGCTCCTTTCCCTGGTAAGTTTGTTCACAACTGACATCTATTTGTAAGTAGTTGTTTATAAATTGCGTGGTTTTCACAGACAATGGTACACGAGATTTCGAGAATGGCCTTTCTTTCATCGTCCTTTGATTCTCCCACAAAGAAGAAAAAATTGCGTGTCTTCTGCCTAAGTGCCCTTAAAGCTTTCGTTTAGCAGAAAAGAAAAAATCGCTTTCCCCTTTTCTCCCAATCGCTAACCAGTTTCGCTGGATTGATTGAAAGCGCACGACGCAAAATGTAACTATAAGCCTAACTCTCTAGTAAGATGTAATGACTGCAACTACATATATTACTATTATGTATAATGAGCGCCAATTTCACGGAGTTTAATGGGGAAAAATAATTTTTACAAGCAGCCTTTAGAGAGATCGTAGATACTTTCTTCCCCTTTTTGGTTAAATTTTATTTTGTAATTATCTCTAAATTTCGTGACTTGCCTAATCGTTTGGCCACCTATAGGCGTGAATCTGATAGGTTTCAATGTCTTTGGAACAGCAGACATCATTAGCGGTTTATCACGGTACGATATTTGTACAATGATTTCATTGCGGAGCGTCCCAAAATTCCTTTCAACTTACTCTGTTTCCTACGATGATTGACAAACTTATCTAACACCAACAAATTCTTGAAGTCATGGGTGGAGATATCGGACTGAAGGAATTTTACGGGACATGATTTTCTTTGTCTTTTCCTTTTCGTATTTCCGATAACAGATAGCTGGCGGGGAAGGCAACAACACAACGGAAATTGCCTCTGACGGGTGAATGCGCCTAATTAGCAAGGCCCTCCATCTCTTTTATCTTGGTGGTATAATTTTTAAACTAGACCACAAAAATAGGGCTTCTTTAAGGTGACTGCATTCAAAGTGATTATATCCAGTAAGTCGAGTTTGAGACGCGGTTAACGACGCAATCTGCTTGTGTTACATGGCATAGGGCAGATTAATCGAAGTCCACATTGAGCTATCGAATTTAAGGTTAAACCTTTATCGCTTTTCGTTACGGACGGTTGATAAAACTCCTGTTACGCTAATTGTTCCAACACTAAAGAGCGTGTCAGGGCTTTTATCTCAGAGTGTGTCAGGGTTTTTATCTCAGAGTGTCTCAGGTTATCTTGGTTTAACCCGTCGATTCCATTCTGTTGGATCGTCAGCTTGTTTGGCGCCTTCACCGTACACCTAATACTCGCGTGGTTTTAGTAAACGGAATTGGGTATAGAAAGGTTGGGGGTTACATTAGCTTGGGAGGAGGGGATGGATAGGTTTGGAAGTGATCAATAATACACTCCTCACCCTTCTCATTTTCACATTGATAAAACACGCAAAAGCAGAATTTGATATTAAAAAAAAACATCTGAAATTCTCTAATTAAAAGATAATTGGTAATACACTCCTCACGCTTCTTATTTTCACATTGATAAAACACGCAAAAGCAGAATTTGATATAAAAAAAACATCTGAAATTCTCTAATTAAAAGATAATTGGTTACCTGAACAACATTCTGTTTATAATTATGTGTTTATCAATCACAATTGTTATGACAAACGTTAATCGAATCAGCATACCAGAAAATTCTTATCAGGTAGCTTTTTTTCCCTGTTCCTTGAGAATACAAAATTAGTCCAGCTTTTTTCTTTATTCTGGATGTCAAAACTTAGAGAAGCAATTCATGGCTAGGTGCCTCCTCGATCATTGTTGTTATTACGTGGTCATCTCGATGGCACGCTGCTAAACTAAGTTAATTGCGGAGTCTGTTATATCCTAGAAGATAAGGGCTCCTTCTTCCACCATGATACGCATCCACACCTTTTCTTAAAATATTTTGAAAGCTGCATCTGTTCAGTTGTTGATCTCGAAAAACCATGGAGCCTATGACAATATATATTTTGTCCAACATAGTGGAACGAAATTCACCAACGTGTGAAATCTATTAAATAATGGTTTAAAAAAAAAGCTTTCTCAAAAACTGAAATAACTTGAAGTTTCTTTGTTATCTTAATATCATTTTTTTATCTGACTATGTCGATTTAAAATACTTTATAACACTATTCTCTCTTTGATTTACAGCTTCTACTTCCCCTGCTTCTGAGTTGAAAAAACAAGCTCTTGGAAGATCGAACAGTGTTGGAATTATTGAGAACATCCATACAAAAGCTATTCAATCATCACCCTTGGCCGGCGAAATACACTACGGTAAGAGAAAACACAAGTTGAAAAAAAATTGTCTTAGGAAGTATGAGATTGATTTTTAATGAAAATTGCTTTTCTAAAGGCAGCGATTATGTTAAAACCCCTCTGTTATGCAACACACTGGGGTGTAGCCACGTGGCGCGTGACTATCTCTGTACAACAGGAAGTAGATGAAGTAGACGAGAGCGAGACATTATTTAGTCGCCCAACCTCTCATGTTGCACCCGCCATTGAAAAAAATGATCGTGAAAGATGATATGGTTTTTACTGGTAAATGATAGGGAAAACAAGGCGTGCCGTGATAACTGTAGGTTTTTTTGATTGGGTCGATCTGAAAGGATTAATTATGAGCAGTTTTTCAATAGTATTCATTTCTAGACTTGCCGGTCATTTGAGACAAAGTACGCTGTACTGCCCTGGTTTGTAAAAATAGTAATGATTAGTTAAACCTACTCGTTACTTAGCAAAGATTGAGTTACCTTACAGGAGTGGTGCGTGTAGGCGGTAGATGTATTTATATGTAATGGTAGTATTTTTGCACCGAGAACAGCGTTTGCTAATTTTATACCTCTGCATGACATGCAAAGAAAATGTTTTGGTTTCCATGGCTTTCGTGCGGGGCTAATTGACGCTGCATGCACGCGTTATTGTTCAGCATATTCAATTTAATTTTTGAATCATGTTATCGGAAATGAAATAAATGCTGAAAGAACTATTTAAGTGGGCTTGCATTACGCACTCCACCCACTTACCAGCCTTACTGCCCTTTGAGCGCCTTATCTGACTTGCAGAGGCGGATATCGATTATCGTTTACAGAACCGGAACGACCAGAAATGTTATCGTATGGTTAGCATAATCTACCATTTGATTGATGTTATTTACTGACGGTCGTATGCAAAGTCTGCTCATCACTTCGATTGGAGTTTTGAAAAAGTAAGGAAAAAAAACGTTATCTTTCATCATAGCTTGGGCGAATCTTATCGCAATCTGGCAAAGGTACGTACCACCTGGTAACCTGGTTCAAGTAATTAAAAGTTGGCTGAGAGAATTCCATGTAAATATATATCTGAAACCCTGTTCTATTTTGAAATTATCAAAACCTGCCAAGAAAGTCTAAGCCGGTCTTTCTACAGATTTCGCGCGACGAACTGAACGGGATATTCTTTTGCAATATATGTGTTGCCCTTATGTTCCTAATTGCTGCTTAATGAGTTTACGTGGGCTAATAAACGTTACCTCGATTGGTGCAAAATCGTCGCACTTGTAGTGTTGAATTAAGAATTAAAAGCAGGGCGTCTTTTTTCAAGAGTAAGAGCTTTTAAATTTGTGTAAGAATTGATGTTCTTTCTAGACACTAAACATGTTATCAGACATAAGGTTTTGAGGTCGAGGTTTGATCTGCACCCAGTTAGGCGTAAATCACGCGATCTGCAGTCAACAGTTTGTCTGCTACTCGGTCACTTAGCAACGATGGTCACCTTTCGTTATTATGTTCACCTCATAGACTTCTTACACAAAAGAATAACTCGTACAGACTAGAGCTAGACTAAGGTGGTTGCAATGGATAGGCGATATTGACGCGGACCCAAAGATCCAAGTTGAGGGGAGGAGGGAACGGGTTGCGTCAAGTGTATCATACGCCTTGAGTAACAGAATGCTTTAAGTGGCACAAAATTTCTGTACTTTTTTTCCTCTTTTTTTTTCGTTTGGGTTTTAGTTGAGGGTCTTCTTCCTAAAGGATTAATGGCCTCGGCCCTGTGTGTAAAGTAAAAAATGGATTTACAGGGTTGAATGGGTTGAAAATAAAAGCCATGGGGTTTGATATTGTTATGACAAGTTCTTTATCAGTTAAAACGATGTTTTACAAAATTCACTATTTGATATTGCCTTATGGCCTCTCAATCCGCTTGATGGAAAGATCTGGAAAAGCTTTCTCAAGAGGGTGCTTTATTTGTGGGCAATTTGCCACTGTTGTGTCGATTACTTCGCAACGTTCTTACTGTGCAGCTTAATTTAACTATTCCTTGATGATACGTTTTTCCTGGAGGAGACGAGCTACTTTTGCAGGTCTATTTGAACGGCTTTACATAACGTGGAAAGCGCAGGTGTCGGCCACAGCGCCTTTAATGCATACATGGCGCTCTTAGAGCCTTAAATTCTTTTCAGTGAGTAGTATCGATCACGCCGGCCACAAAGGTAGACTAAACGGCTTAGTTCTCCGAGTAAGCTAGCACACTGAGCTGAAGACAGAACAAGGTCTCGGAAGTAATCAACCAAACAAAACGAAGCCATTGCTCGTGAAGAAAATTTTAGCTTGAATACAAAGCATCAAAGGAATAATTTTAAATGGTCAATCTCTACAGCTTAATTACCTAGTTCATAGCAATGAGATTTTTTTACCTATTGATTTTATCACTCACAAAAATGTTCGTATTTTTGAGCTCGACGGTTCCGCTTGTGAGATCTCGCTGTTATTCGCTAAGACAAAATCCGATTAACTCTCAGCAGAATCTTCCTTTGTTATAAAGATCCCGCTATTACATTGCAAGCTAATTAAGACAACAACATAACTACCTTATCACCTGGTGTATTTCTTCCAAATGATCTTAATTCCGAATTAAACCTTGGAGTATCAGACTTATCACATATCTTACGTGTATCATAGAAGAAAGAACTGCTTGATCCTTCCTATTCGACTGCGTGGGGTATGGCTTATGGCCCTTCTAAAAGTCTTTCCCTTATATTCTCAGGTTTGTTTGTTTAGCCCCGATTTTTCCACTAGTTTCTTTAAAGCTTATTCAGAGTCTTAAACTGTAATCTTTGACTTAAAAGAAGATAAAAAACAGATCGAATAGAGAATCTTTTATAAAGCTTTCCTTTTCAGGCCTATCAACTGAATTCAACAACGCTAAACGGTGTTTCTTTTCATTTAAGAGGGTCTTCATAGAGTGATGGCTCTCACGGCTTACCGTCGAAATTTTGGCCATTTTACGGCTAACAGTTGAAATTTTTGCCATTTTACGGCTAATAGATAATATCATAAGACCCTCTTTTAACCCTTCATTGACCAAGACAGAATTTCTCTCAACAATATCAATACAATATCAAGCAGATAAGTGACGAGAATAAAGAAAAGATCACTTTGGGGATAATTAGTTGATCTAGTACTGAATTCTCTGAACTAACACTATAAGAATTGTATGGTTAACCTTACTGGAAAAATTACAAGTTTGATCTGGGAATTTTAATAGTTAGCGTGGAATCACCCCTGACAAGGGAGGGGTGACTGGGAATGGGAACCGGTCTCTTTCTCCCTCATTGATTTTTAACTACTTTTTTCCCACATATTACTTTTAATTTTTTTTTTTTTCGGTGACAGAGGTGGGGAATGGATCAGTGTTATGTGGGTTTCTCTAGTATCATTTAGGTCCGCTCTCATATGCTTCGCCATTGGAAATACTTCTTAAGGATTAACTCCATGCGAGTAACCAACATCTTATATCTTCTTACAGTAATACTGCTGAATTATTTATTAAGAGCAGGAGAGAAGGGAAATGATCACCAATTTATCTAAAAGGATTTGATTGTTCAAGGAATTCGCCTTGTTGGTACTAAAGGGAAGAAGATAAAAAAGTATTGAGAACATGGATAGTAATATTAGCGGTGTAAAAGGTGACATTAATTAAATTCAGACCACAGGGAAGTCTTTCGTTACACAGCCTTAAAAAAAAAAATCCCTAAGGAAAGTAATGACTGGGACCTATTTGTTGACACCTTTATAAATAACCATATACAATTGAGACCAGTAAAGTGACACCCAATACCTGCCGTATTGACTTTGGAGCCTTTTTCAATTAGCATAAGGCATTTCCGACGCTACCGACAAAACATGAATATTCAACGCGGTACCCTTAGCGCAATGAACTGTGATCTCCACTCGTATTGTTCGCCGGTAAAAATATCCTTCGCATCACCGACGAGTGGGATTGTTTGGGCCATAAGCACGTTTTAATTACGCGAGCTCCTCTCGAATACAGCGCTTCAACTGTGGTTATTTTTGGCTACAATACTGTTGAGCAAAATCTGTCGAACGACTTCGAGCACTACTCTCAAGAGTAATCTATCTTCACCTCTCATTGGTGTGACAACTTCGATTTAGGTGAGTTGAAATGATTTAGAAAAACCGCATGAAAGAATGGCATTGCACGGGCGTAGTTTTGTAAGCTATGCGAGACATGTCGGCTCAACCAGTCGCTAAATTTTTTTTGAGTACAGTCGTCCGATATTTCCTGTTCAATACCATTGTATGCGCTTTTACCGTCGAGGGCGAGACGGTGGCCGCTCGGCTCGTTTCAAATCGATCATTTACAAAAACGTCCCTCACTTGCCACCGATGAAAACGTGGTTAAATCTGTCTGAATAATCGACAGTTCCGACAAGGAGGCTTATGTTATAAAACTCTTGAATAATCCCAATGTACAGCTGACATTTGAAGAGGTAACAAATGCAGGCTATAATATTACTCGCCTTCTGTGAACTTCGTTACCACGATTGATCAGTATATATATGGTTGATGTTTTTGGATTTTATTGTGTGAAATATCGATCAAATGTTTAACTTGGTGAAGCTGGAATCTGCGCTTTCAGGTTTGTGTTTTGCTGTTTATGTTTTGCCTGTCATTTACGATTTACGCCCAGCGCGGAAAGCAATGATTCACGATATGTGAAAATTTTGAGATGCCTTTTTGTTTTTTAACAATATGACGTGTCAAAAAGCAACGAGCTTTCAGGTTTTCTTAAGATCAGGCCTATGTTTCTTGCCGGTGAATTTGCGCTTTCTCCTATGAAAGGACCTACATCGAAGTTTCTAGTCGATGGAAAATGAAATTGAAAATCACTTGGTCTGAAGGGTTTACGGAAAATTTTTGCTCTCCCATTATGCAAATGCACAGATAACGTATTGAACTATCAGGGTACTCGTGTTTTGATTTTTAATTGAAAAATAACTTCGTAATTTTAAAATTTTTCGCCAGAAACAAGAAGCGAATTCGACAAAGACAAGATTGGGTCTTTAGTGTCACTACGATGCGTCGACCCATCATTCATATTTACATCTGTTTCTCTGAATAGTTGCTGCTGTTCCTAATTGAGTCGCAGTTGGTTGTCATTCATGAACGGGTGCAGCTTATAAACATAGACGGAAAGAATTAAAATCGAAGCAGCAATTCAGATCACCCGTTCGTGGGAAAAAGCGTGACGCACGCTGAGGCAGAATCGAAAGTTAATGTGAATTAAGTGAAAAGTGAAACTGACAAGTGACAATTATTTTACCCCTTCGGTACAGAAGGTCAGATTTCTGTTTTCAAACTCAATTTTGTTCGTCATCGTAGATTTCACGGTATCTCGTTATTTTTAAAGTAGCTTAAACTTCATAAAGCCGCGGTATTGGTTATATCAGACCCTTACTCCTCGGTATTGAACGTAAAAGCCTCGTAAGCACCCAAGATATGAGATATATAGCCCGCGAATTACTCTTGTGTATGCTCCGTAGAACTTATTTATCAGACAGCGAAATAATCCTGCTGTTTACTTTAGGTGCTCTTTGTTACAACCTCGTTTGTTATGATTTTCTTTGGAGTCGAATTTGTTTGCGAAACAGCAGCTTTCGTACACAAACTGACTTCATTCTCTCGGAAACATGACATTTAGTGAATAGGCAGGATTTGGTGAGGATTTGTGGGCATGTTGTCAAAGCTAATAAATCTGCGCAGCAAAATATTGGTTCAGTGTCGTTAATTCATTTCATTTATATTTCACCCGTTAGTAGTCGCACCTTAAAGTATAAACGCAGTAGAGTATGATAATATCACCACAACAAACACCACTAGAATTGATCGCAGTGTACCCTAGAGAGTAGTCTTTTTCTGCTCGCTAACCACGCACGCGATGTCATTGCAATAATTTGCCGTAGGTCAAGAATAAGCCTTATTAGTTACCGTACTAAAAAGCCCTTTGAATTTCTGCTTCTCTGTTCTAGATGCGTCCAAACGAAACAGTTGTTTTGAAATAAGATCCAACGAGATGCCAAAGAGATCTACACCAGGCGAGCGCGAGAGAAAAACGTCCTCTCGTTTATTCCGCTCGATGTCTTTGAGCGGACGCAAGCAGACAAATAAAGATCAGCCCGCTGGAGACGATAAGAGGAATTCGGCCATTTCTATATCAGATAATGAAAAAGTCACTGTCCTTAGGGATCACAATGCGCAGCTTTTAGACGAGAAAAACAAAGCCGTGAACGAGTGTGATAAAATGAACAAGGATCTGGTGGATGCTCACGAAAAATTAAAGGAAGCCGAGCGAGAGATCGAAAATTTGAAAGAGTTGTTGAGCACAAAGATAAAGAAAGAATTTGATAACTGCGAGGTGGACGCAAGCGACAAAATAACTCGAATGTCGTATAGTGACCTTGAATTAGAACCTCTGGAGACAAAGGACAATGTGATTTTTCCTTCTAAAGTTGAACACCTCGAGACCACCATTCAAGCAAGCGCTGTTCCACTTCAGAAGACTTCTTCGTGTAAGGAGTGCGAACGTTTGAAACAGTCTCGCATCAAAGCTGTGGTGGAGGCCATCGCTTTGAGGAAGTACGTCAAAAATCTGAACGACGCTCTTTCTGGTGGTGATGCGGATAAACAGAACTTTTTAAACGACGTTCAGAAAAGGCTTATTTCTGCACAAACTGAGAAAGAAGTCGCTTTGGAAGAACTTGCAACAGTTATTGATCAAAGGAATCAGGCAGTTAGAGAAAAGGACAGAGCACTCGAGGAATGGGGAAAAGCAACGGGTAAATGGGAGAATACGTTGGACCAGTTAGATTCCCTTGTAAAAGAAATGAATAAGGTAAGATTTCTTTAAACCATGTGTGTGTTTACGTGTGATGCGCGCGTGTTATCACACAGACACGCGCGCATTCGAGGCAGTTTAAAGTCAAGTCCCTCTGAGTCGGTTGATTACGTTAAGAAGCAACTTAAGAAAGTTATGGTGGCATAGAGGTGGGTTTCACTCTATGATAGAGGAATCAAAGATCTCTCTCTAGGGTGTTTTTGGTTATGAATTTTGGACCAGAGAGAACTGCTTGTCTTAAGAATGGCACTAACACGGGTATTTTTTCCGAGAGAAAATGAGGCGTTTTATTCATGCTGATAGCTGTTTCTTATTCTATCTTATGGTGTTTAAAATAACAGTGAAACCACAATGTAACAACGTATTAGGAGTAGTGGTCGAACTTGCAAATACTGATTATATTGAAATAACTGAATGATCAAACCGTGTCCAAAAAGGTTCAACAGTGGCAAAAAAGTTGGCGAGGAAAGTTTATTGAGCCCGTTTTCTCCGACCAGAAAGCTAGTCTTAGAAGTTTACACAGTTATAGAGTTTCCCTATTTCATTATCTGCCATTTTGTTCTCAAACGAATATAAGAAACACTTTAGGTGATGTTTGAAGTATGCAATGGTCGCGCGGTTTTCTTTGAGCAAAGGGGGAAGGAATTTTGGGCACAAAATGTGCGCTTGCACCGTTCAGAAAATGGCCGTCGTTAGAAATTAATTATTCCTAAAAAACCACAGATACGTCCTGATTACTAGACCGGTACTGCATCTTCTCACGTACAGAACGCTCCAATGTTTAGAAATAAAATTATCAACATGATCATTTGCTTTGCTAGAGTAGGCCCCAGTAGGTTCTTTTCTTTACTCGGCTTTCGAAAACGCGTCTTTCTAGTTGACTCTGTGCCATGTTTAGTTCAAAACTGTACAGTCAGTTTGTATTCCGAACCTCCAATGTCACTTGTATTTGCTGTTTGTAGACCATCTTTGATGGATGTCATGACAAACGCCACAAAAATTCAAAGTATGTTAATGACTATACCACAAGAATGAATTTCACAATAGAATGACTAATTTGTTGCTCTTACATATTAATTATCTCACGATCTAAGCAGAGCAAAACCTATTTGTATTGTTGCCTAACAGATCTTATCGTGTACTCTTGTTAATGACACTTTGAAAGAGTGTGAATACAGTGCGATCTGTTCCTTTGTGCAAAGTATGGTCTTGTGGCTTTTGATATTTTGCCTTCGGCGGGGGATTCCTTTCGGCATGCAACGATGCTTGGAAGAAAGCACGCACAACTTTCGATGTATAATATGAAAAGTTAGGTTTTTATTTTGAAGTGCAATGCGTTTCAGTTTCAATATTTTTCCACGTTTCGTATTGGATGAGTTATATATCGTTAGATGGCGAGACTGATTCAAAATTATACTAACGGTTTGTGATCGCTTTATCATAGTAGATTGGTTTTGTTACAAACTCATTGTCGCAACAAGTTTGTACATACCAAAAGTTTTAGCCTGAATGTAAAACTTCCAAAAATGAATCTTGAGCACATGATATCATCGCAATTTGTTGATCAAATGTTGAAAAAAAAAATAGATAGATCAATTGTAAAAAAGATAAGAAGTGTAATTAAGCCAAGGTACTCGTAATAACTCCAGTTACGGTAGCCTAGACTTGCATAATCAATGAGAGCTTGAAGAAGTCTTTCATGATAGCCCTCCAAGTTAGGTTGAAGTATCGGAAGATCTTAGACAAAGGTTCTCTCTTTATTCTTTGGGTTACGTCCCACATCTCCCTGAGGTGATTGGAAGCATGCGGCAGTCCTTTTTCTAATATAGAGGCTAATAGCGAAGCGAACAAATATTAACTTGTCAGGAACCTATGTGAGCACCTCATTAAGCCCCTTTCAGTTGGTATAAATGTAAATACGTAAAGTATTATCTGAAAAGGAGTTGTATAGAAATCTAGAACGACTTGTGTTCAATTGAGGGTCTGCATGTAGCACACCTATTGATCGGTCAGTTAGTGACTTATTTGCCTACCATCACGATGACTAGTCCAATAACCATGTCAGTTAATCAGTCAGTTACACAGCTAGTCATGAACCCAGCCAGTCATTCCGTCAGTGAATTAATTTTGCAATTAATTGACCATTAATGTGTCAATATGGCAGCATGTGGGCTAGTCCGTCCATTGATGAGTTGGTCAGTCAGTCAGGGAGCCAGTCAAGCAGTCAGTCATTCACAAAGTCAATCTGTGGGTCTGTCAGCCAGTCTTTTGATCATTACTCAGTCAGTCGGTCTGTCATCCATTTGTTATCATCCTTGTTAGTTATTCATAAGTTTTTTTTGCATTCTGTTTGCAGGTGAAAGCAGAACGCGATGATCTTACCAACAAGCTAAAGAGAAAAGAGGAAGCCTTAGAGAGAGTCAAGCAGGAGACATCTTTGTTATCTGAGCAGATCGAAGTCACGAAGCAAGATTCAAATGACTCCATAGAAGAAGAAGAAAATATTACCTTCAGGGACAGATCCGAGAACACACAATCTGTAAGAAAATTGAGCACTGAACTCACAAAGGCTCAGCAACGAAATTTTGAAATGGACGCTAGAGTAACATCACTAGAGGAGAAGTCAGAGACTTTTAAGAGAGAAAGAGACCATGCGAAGGAACAGTGGAGGCAGTCTGTGAAGGAACGAAAGAGGTTACATCGGGAGATTGCTTGCATTGTTCAAGCTAGGGACGAAGCAATACAAAAATGTTTTTCCACCGCAGAACAATTAGAAAAACTGAAAGAGGAGTATAATCACTTGCTGAACCGGTTAGCAAAAACCGGTTTGAGTGCGAACAACACTAGTGAACTGTCAATTCCGTGTTCTCTCAAGGAGTGTAAATTTTGTGCGGGTGATTCCGGTGGAGGACTTGAGGTAATAGTTTATCATGTTCCTTATGCAATGTCAATGAAGGCGTCGTTGAAGCCAAAAAAAAAAAATGTAAACGAGACAGGTCTCCTTCCCCCCCGCCCTCAATCGACCCATAATAGCTATAGCTATCTTCTTTCTTCTGGTTCCAGGGGAGAGAATTCTTTTTTAGAGTTCGGCTCTTTTTCCTCCATAAAGCTAAATTAACATTTATCTACCATGCGAATAATTATAAAATTTGACCTTTACTTGTACTTAGCACCCTACTTCGTGATAGTGTGACCTTAACCAGTATATTTGATGCCCTTTATTGCCATTTGAAAATTTCTAATATTCTTTTCCATTTAGTCTCCAGAGACGTCATTCACCGAAAGTGAAGAAATTCGTCTAACTTTAGAAAAGGTTTGTTGATATGTGAGCACCTCTTGTTGTACATGTAACATAGGCAGGCTTGATATCAGCTTGTTTGGAAGGCACTAAAATTGTTGTCAGGCTGATTTGAAGGCAATGGCGATGAATGTCATTGTGGTATGGAGCGATAAAGTACCAGAAAAAACGACGTTGGAGGCCAAAATGCTTCCCGCAGATTTTTAGCATTTCACAAAGTAATATCAGTATCCATTTCTCCATACTCTTCTACAAAACTTTCCTTTAGTACTGACTGGGAGAATTTGATTAATAATGGTAATAGGGAGTCCAATTCGGTCTGTAATCATACGAGTGATTAACAAAATTTGACGACCACGAAGCGGGAGTCCGATTTGTTTATCACAAGTATGATTACAGACAGAATTGAACGACAAGAAATCCTTTTCTCAATTAATCATAACCATTTCAATTTCCGAAAAAACAAATACGCCTAAAACAAATATCTCCAGTGGAGACAATGTCTTTAGTTCAAAATTCCTTCATTTTGGAAATTGCCTTTTTTTCTTTGGATAAGTGGTTGTTGCTATGGTTATCGTGATCAACTCTATGATTGGTGGATTCAGCAGGATTGGCTGCTTCAACTGTCCGATTACAGTTGTCCGATTACAGCTAGCTGTCCGATTACAACTGTTTGATTATAACTGTACAGAGTGATTAGTGATATATAAAGCAGCTGATGCACCAATCGCATTTCAGGAAATTTTAATGATTAGGATTAGTTATATAATTTTGTTAGGTTGAGGATCATTTCCTTAATTCTCGTGATCTTATTGTATGATTCAGCAGTAAAACCGTGAGGAGAAGTTAGATGCTGGTCACTCTTAGGGTTTATAGGGTTGACTGACATAACATGCGTTCTTCATTACGAAAAGACCAGAAAAAGAAGTAAGGGATGGTATTTTTCTTTGTAATTTAGGATGATCCATTGGACTCTATCAAATTGGCCCGAGTTTCCATGAATGGAAGATCTTTTACCGCGATAATTGATGTTGACAAGGGTTTAGGGAGCGCGAGGAACATAAGGTAATTAATGCTTATATTTAGCTTATTGCTCGACTGATTTAGTTGATTACACGTAGTTTATTGGTAGATAGATTTTAAAATCTTCTTTTCATCGGTGTTCTACATTTTAAACAAACCCAACAAGGCTCCACTGCCTTTGGGATGTTAGTTCCCATAAACCCCTAGAGTTCTAGAGGTTAAAAACAGGAAGTAAAGAAAGACGCTGTACTCTGGTGTTAAAAAAAGAATTTCAAATTGTGAAAAAGGTATAAGGAAAGGAGGAGCACGCAGCTCGTTCGTACGGAACATTTGAATTGTGAAATTGAACGATGAAATGTTACTGCATCTTTCAATAACTTACAAACTCACGAGTTTCAGAATCAAAGTTGCAATTTTTTTTGGTGATAGTGGTGCTATTAATTATAATCGAAACGAACTTCTAAGAGCACAAAATAAAGAATCGATCAAAATCTGTCAGTCGGAATGTGAGAACAAAATATTATGAAACAGTGCCCTCCTTACGTCTTGAAAGATCATGTTGTGTACCTCACGAGAGGCATAAAGCACAGTGACTAAAGGTAGCATTGTTTTTTTTTCCAATGATGCGAATTCTAGCACTATAGTATACTTTGTTACGAGAAGAAAAGTAAAATGGCTGATGAACATTATTTTGTTAATTTTTAGAAAATATGACGAGATCGTCTCCATCAACGATATTCCAGTAACAGAGGGTGACCAAAACCTGGTGAGATCTTTACTGGATGGAGCTCTTACCACACTCAATATGGTGAGCCTGGGGGTACTTTGTGCGCCCCCTTCTGTGTGAGATTACTGAGTAATAGGGAAACATCTGTCATATTTAGTGTCGAGTTTGTGCTGCAGAGCGTGGCAAGAAAGGCAAAGTGCAAGGAACGGAAAATTTACCAACCCATATGACCAATGTTGTAACTCTTGATACAAACATAAAGTAATTGCGAGTTATTCATCGTTCTGCTTATGACGTTTGTCAGGTTCTCAAGCGGCAAATTGGGACATACCAGTTAAGCTTTGACTTGGACCTCAAAGCACCGAAGAAATCTAAAGTTGGTAAGTGTAGTAGTCATCTTTCTATAGAAAGTAGTCTTCACTTATGTGCAGTAATTGCAATTTCGCGCACATTACTGAAGGAATGATTTCCATTGAAAAAGAGAGACAATTGCCCAAAACAAG